AAAAAACTGTATTTTTGAGAGGTCTAGGCATAGCGCTCAAAATTAAAACATACTGATTTCCGTTTCACAACATCTGTAAGATTGGGAAAGATCTTGCAACGGGAAAGAGCCACAAACAGCTTTCATCAAGTCTCGGATATTACAATAAATTGCAAAAAATGTACCAAATCAACTGCTCTTGAAATAGGCTCTGACTTAGTTTTCTTTTAAAAACAACCTTCCACATTTTTTAAAACGTTGCATGTACTTAGTAGTCAAAGCAGTGTACTTCAAAATGTAACAAAATTGATACACTATTACTAAGAAGATTTAAAAAACATTAGCCTTACTAAAAATCCTCAAATACAGATTTCTTGCTGTGGTTATGTATTTCACCAATATGGCCATACAATCAAAGGCAAGGAGTTATACTGAACGTCAATAGCACAGACTGAGTGACCACATTGTTTCGTCTAAAATATTATACATTTTGACCTAGAAAGATAACATGACTGTACATCTTCAACGTACCTGAAGAAGGCCATGTCCCTGAGTTAGTCTATCAAGTCCTGTAAAAAAAATCGCCAGTCAGCTGATTGTAACTGAAAATACTGCTTCAAGTGTCGCATTTGGTGATAGACATTTCTTTTTTAGGTAAGTGTACTCTGTTAGTAGAGGGTTATCCAAGCTGAACTAAAGCAATTCAACACATTGATAAAATTTTTATTATTTATTATCATTACAACTTTAAAGTTTCTTGTAATCCATCTAACTGTTCTTTCTGAATTTTCAGTGGCTTATTGATGTGGAATTTTGCACTTAATAATATTATTGACAAGTTAATTTCAAATCTCTGACTGTATAATATCATGAATATCTCAAAATGACGACTTCCTTTCATTCTAAGGATAAACATGATAACTCTGTAGCTTTTTATTTTGATCCTTAAGAATGAATTGAAAAGTTCTCTCTTGATTTTAGATCTGACACCCCTGTATCTTTTGTAGCCATTAAAAGAGTCACCACACAACTTGTAACCACCAGATACTGGCTACCAAAGGGATTAAAAGATATGACAAGACACATTATTTGATCATCACACTGTAGACCCAATATCATGCACATGCATGTATGAGCAAGAACCCCAAGTAGTGTAGCAGCTCTTGTAAGCTTGTAATTCTTTTTGTCGTCATTGCAGCAGCTGTTATTGTTTTGGAGCTAGGGGGCATTGTTTCTGCCGTTTGTTCTATTGTCCTCTCAAAGGGTTTCAAGCCATTCATGTGAGACCTTACGAGAGCTGCAACAAGTCCCATATAAAAAGGGCAGGCGTCCTCATCAGAAGTTTTGACAAGAAACTGTAAGAGGTAAGAAGACCCAGTTGTGTGGGCATGGCTTTAAATATTTTCCTCCCCTAAGAGGTACTAATTCTAAGGCAACACATTAACTGACACTGACTTTTTTCAACTCAATACCCTAAAATGTAACGTGAAAGCTCCTGCTGTGGACCTTTTGAGGCTGAACACCCCAAGAGGCACTAACACCACCTTTTTAACCCCTAAAAGGTACAACAAACACCCCTGTCCTTTTTTATGAGAGTCACCCCAGGGGAAGAACTTTGCTCAACAAAAATACAATTTTAGAACATATTCTTTACTAGGGACAGTCCAGTGGCAGAAGTTAAAAATAAATATGAGTAAAAACATTTCACTATACCTTCCACATGCAGAGCTGTATTTTCCAGTGCTCTGCGAATGCTGTTTAAAGAATAAATGGTGCATTTTGATTACTTTAAAGGACTGACACTCTTCATTTAAAAGAGGAAACACTTGGGTCAACATGATTTCAGAAAAAGAGAAAGCTTTGAGATTCAATTGAACATTTAACAGTCAACATAATGCAAGTATGGGTAAAGAGAGATGTGTGTTAAAAAGCCTACAAATGACTATCAGCTTGCTGGGAATAAAACAGAGAAGAAAAAATGACATAGGTCTCACCTGTGAGGCGAGTAAGGGATGCTATTTGCTTTAAGACCAGAGAGCAAAAGTGCTGGAAAACAAAAAAAAAATCATTCATTTGTTAAATTGTTTTGGTCTGAAAGGGTTAGGAAATGTTCACTACAGTGCTGTAAGTATCTTTAGAATGAATGCTATTTTTCACTGTAGTCTGTAGTCTTCATACCAATTCCTCCACATGCATTTGGTGAAGACATTGATGTCCCATTCATCAATTGTGTTCCTCTTAGCGTCCAGTTGGGTACGGCAGCTATAGCACCACCCGGAGCACTTATATTAACACCTAGAGAGCCATCTGTCCTGTAAGTTACACATGAAAGATCAGTGGTTATTAGAAATCAGCTTGCATCATTTCATGTTTCATTGACTTTAACACTAAGTCATTCCATTCTAGACAAGAGGGAGAGTGTATATACATTGTACTGTGGTTTGCTTATTAGCAACAGTCCAGGGCTCGAAAAAAGTGCCGTCTGGTCATTCGGGACAAGTAGATTCTCTTTCTGGGCAAGTAACTTTTCACTCTCATTTGCCTATTAGGCAAAAGATCAGGCAAGTCTTGTGCCAACTAAATCATTAAGAAAGGCAAACTACACTTGCACAAGGCAAGCAAAAATTTAGAGCTACTTGTCCCAAGGGCAAGCTGGAATTCAAGTTCTTTTTTAGTTCTGAGCACTAGATAACTGGCAATTCAAGCAGTTATGAAAAGAAGATAAGATACGAAAGACAAGACCTTAGGTGCTTGATGCCTATAGCAAGAAACAACTAGTCAGAGTTTTGTTATCCTCCCCTCCCCCCAATGAACCAGAAGCTAGTCCATTCTAGCTATGGTGTTACTTCTTCAGCATGTCAAGTTGCCCATGGGAAGCAGTTTTTCAGTACCAATTTACACTCTTGGGCGATGTAGTGCAACTAGTAAAATGCTCTGCCCAAAAACACTATAAATAGCCCCTGCAGTCCAAACCTCTTACTCATAGAGGGTAGAGGTAGGGGTATGTCTGTGTTTAAGCCTAGTGACTCATCAGTTGCTTATCTCTGTTTTTGGCCGTATGAAGCAACAAGGAGTATTTCTACTCCCCACCTCCCCAGATGGGATGCAAGCCTATCATAATACTACCCCAAGCATTAAGTTTGTGGGTACTGCGAATATAGGCACTGTCCTGCCCAAGAACACAGCCTCTGAACTGCAGCTCACAGATCACTTGGCCACCCTGCCCACCACAAGAAAGAAGGAATCATGCGTACTAAAGGCATTTGCAGCTGAGTGTCAATTGATACCCTTGACTGACTCACGATCGACCTTTGATCAGCATCTTAATCAACACTTAATTGACATTCCGATCGATACTTGGTTGACACTCGGTCGGCATCTCACTTGACACTTCATTGACATTAGATCAACAGTTGGTCAATAGTCTGCCATGTGGACTGATTCATATGCATCGATCAACAATTAGTCGACTCTTGACCCACTGTCAAACAAGATGTACATTTTGTGTCAATCAAGTGTCAACGGAGGTTTTGAGGAGTGTCGATTGAGCATTGATTGAGTGTCAATCGAGGGTCAATTGAGGGTATCAATCAACACTTGACTATGGATGTCTTTAGTAAAAAAGTATCCAAAAGAAGTATGAAAACCCAAGCTCCTTACGTGGGACCTCTTGATGACCATGTGTACTGATTTCCTGGAAGTTTTTCAAGCAAAGAGTATTCAGCAGCCATCATGTCTGGGGACACATATGCACCAACACCTGAAAAGCCAAACAACATGCAATAAGCCTGATCACTAACACAATGGTGGCTGATAGCTTAGTAACAGAACTTTAGTTTGATAGATAGTACATTGTAAATAGTAAAAGCCTTGCTTACAAAGTCACTATACTGTGATTCCACACTTATATAACAATGTGACCAAACTGTCTTTCCAGGGAGTTGAGCTTGTCACAGGCTCTTTTTGGGCTCTAAGGATTTCTCTGATTTCTCTGATTTCTCTTATTTATATGCCCAGTTTGTCTGCAAAAACCAACACTTCTGATCTGGAAAATTAAACTTGTACTTGTTTTTGGCAACATCCAGATTGGATTATGGTCAGACAGATAACTCTAAAAGATTAGGCAGCATGCAAATATGTGTGTGTACATGCCATACATATTGCCTCAAAAGAGAACTTTACTATCCAATGGTGAGATTTTCACTGCCAAGGATTTCTGTAGCTTGCTTGTTCTCAGCCGACTGATGCTTAAGACAAACCAAGTTTAGTTGACAATGAAACCCTAGCTCTTGCACAAAAATGATGACTTTTTGAATGACATCTTGGTATGATCAGAAAAAGGTATCCTTTTAGTCTGCTTGGTGAATTCTTGGCATTGTGAACAAACCTCAATGGTCTTTGCTTATTTATCACAACTGTGAGGACCAGACACGATCTTGTTTCTAAGGTTTTCAACTTATTTGATAATTATCAATCAATATCTGGTTGTAATCTTAACTAGACCTTCTCTTCTTTGTGAGATACTTCATCTTACTAGTAAGCAAAATGCTGTTTTGAATTTTTACCAATAAGAGACTCTGCAGTGCCGCCTGGACATCCAACTGTGGAGAGAGCAGGGCCGTTGTTACCAGCGCTAGCCACAAATATCACTTTGTGTTTATCCACAAGTTCATTCATCATTTCAATAATACGTCTGAAATATGAAGACAACCGACAAGAAATTAGCCACACAGGATCCACACTTAGGATCACAAAATTTATGAAACAACATAACCAGCAGCAGCAGTGTTAACATGGTAGGCAAAGGTAAAGTCTGTATATGAGGCAAGTGGCCAATCAGGCTGGAGCTTTTCCCGGTTTCTGTAGCATGAAACAACTAGGAATATTTCTACTCCCCCCTGGATGGGATGCTAGTCCATCACAGGGTTACCCACAGCTTATATTTAATTCGCCGGTACCCATTTATACACCTGGGTGGAGAGAAGCACTGAGAGAGTATAGTGTCTTGTCCAAGAACACAACACCATGACCCTGGTCAGGGCTTGAACCCAAACTTCTCAATCTGGAGACAAGCACACTAACCATGAGACTACCGCACTTCTCCCCATTTTAACATAAATACATGCAATAGGACAAGACCAATCAGTTCTGCAGACATCACATAACAAATCCCTTTACACAATTTACTAGATAAATGTTTTGGCATTTTAACAAATCCTGTCCCATCACCCTGCTGGTACATGTGCACCGTTTCAGCAGCATGTCCAGTAACCACAAAGAGCTCTGACTGACAAACGATTATGTAGTTAAGAAAAGGAAGAAATTGAAAAATCAAAATTAACCACTCCTTACCCTGAGTTAGGCCAATGACTTGCCTCTCCATAACTCATGTTGATTAGATCACATTTATACTGATGAACTGCAATCAACTAAAAGCAATGTTCTCAGACATTATTCAATTAAATAGCTGATCACCAAACAGAGACAGGGACCAGAAACAGACCCAAAGAAAGCCAATCTACTCACCCCTCTAATCATGGAAGCTCCAGTTTCCATCGTTTGTAGCCTTGTATCCCCAATCTTCACTGACAGAATCTGAAGAAAAATAATTATTTCATAGTAATTGCGGTCCAATCATAACACAGAAGTAGGTCTTGCCACTTGCACTACTATAGCACGTAAGTTACAAGATAGAATGACGTTACAGGTAAACAAAGATCATTTATGAAGAATTGCAGGGGACATGTGCTTTGCAGTGCTCTACCAACACGGACAGCTGACTATAATGCATGTTACTGCAGAAGTGTCGAGCTATGTTAATTAATACACTGCAGTGATATAAAGGTCATATAATACTATCAACACACCTGAGCCCCTGGAGCAATGCCAATCAGCCCTGGATCATCTGGGCAATAACCCGCTGCTATGCTGGCCACATGGGTGCCATGAGCACCTGCAGCACAATGACAGGGACATTATATTCAATCAACTTTAAAATCAAACTGCTCACAAACAGATTTATCTTGAATAGAAATATACCAAATATACCTCCATTAGCAACAATAGAGAGTATTTTGCCTTCTTCATAAATGTTGACGCTGTAGTTGAACAAATCTAAAAGATATATGAGAAGAATAACTCACTGTAAAGTCAGAAATATTTATTCATTTATTTGCTTATTTAATATTCTTATTGTAGCTGTTAAAAAGAATGTTAATCTTAAGGTTTTACATTATATTAATAGCTTTTAGAACTTAGTCTTGGCATACAACCCTGCTAAGTTATAAATAAGACAAATGGAGTATTTCTATATCCCCCTGGATGCAATGCTAGTCCATCGCGGGGCTACCCCCAGCATTACATACCCCGGTACTCATTTATACACCTGGGTGGAGAGAGGCACTGTGAGAGTAAAGTGTCTTTACCAAGAACACAACACGATGTCCCTAACCAGGGCTCTAACCCGGACCGCTCGATCCCAAGACGAGCACACTAACCATGAGGACAACACACCTCTGACACTTAAAAAGAGAACCCCCTTAATTTAAAATAACTAATTGTAATTTATTGCATAGGCCTGTATGGCACGAAAAGGGCTAAAGCTACAAATGTCTCTGCATGCATGTCATGCCTAAAACACTAAACAACAGAAGGTTATAAATATAACAGTTATATTTATTTATTTACCTTCTTTTCCAAATGTAGCATATTGTCCAGAATCCCTGTAGTTTGACAACACAGTACAGCTGGCCAGATCTCCACTTTCAGACGTGTCAACACAAGCTCTGTTGATGGTACAGAAAGGTTGAGTTTCTTGATATCTAATTGGCAGCATTAAGCCCCTAGGAGACTCACTTTCAGTTTGCCAATGTACAGTAACTAAGTGAAGCACTATTTTT